AGTCAAATATGTAAGCACTGAATGAGAGCTACTAAAAATGCGGTTTTTTCACTACAGGGGTAGGCAAAAATAAATCAGACTATTAACAATGGCTACAATTTTCTTACATACTAGTTTTCCGCCAGCGGCTTTGCTCGCGTAGTCTCTAGGGAACTGTTTATTTGGATATCGATTCATATCATGACACGGATATGATTACAATGACAATTTAATAGTAAACAGTGGCCCTATGGTAACGTTTGAATTCCCTATACAAAACTACCCTTTATTTGCTGTTTTTTCGGGATAAAATATAATCTACGTTTACCGCATATGATGTAGCTTCCCGAAGGAGAAAGAATTTCTAAAATCAGTCCAGTAGTTTTGAGCCTATTCGTTACAAACAAACAAACGATCAAATATTTGTTTGACGACCTCCGTAGCCGAGTGGTACGCACGCCGGTTTAAAGGTGTCGCCATCTCTGAGGTCCCGGGTTCGATTCCCGGTCGAGTCAATGTAGAAAATGAACTTTACTATATTGTGCCGGGTCTGGGTGTTGTTTCTTTCGTTGTCTCAGATACTCCATAATACGGGGGCTTTGACTACTCATCTTGGAATCTGAACAATGTATGTGATATTGTGTAATATTTATTTATAATATTAGTAGAGATGCAGTATTATAAGTAAAGATATAGCATAAACTTATATAGCTATATTGGCATTGTATCTTGCGTCGAAGCACACTTGTCATTCTCTATCGCAGCCGGACAGCAGTAACTCGTTATTAATAGAAAAGATAAAGTAATACACGTAGTTGTAAACGGCGCTACTGTCTGTACTAACTTTCTTCTATATCACAAGCACGCATTTTAGCTTTCTTTGACCATGTATGAGGACGCAGCAATAACTGCGTGAAACGTCTAATACTATAGGGAAAAGTTGAAGAAAGCAGAGCGCGCAGTACAATAGCGATGAGATGGACAGACCAAATGAAGGCGGCAACACACTGCCTGTCCATGTGTGTACCAGAAATACTGCTGTCTGACAAGAATGACGCCGTAACTTACCACTCAAACTGTTCCTTATTGATGACACGACATAGAAGAAGAAAAATATTGTAAATATATAATCTCCAATTCAGTACAAAGATTACATACCTGTTCAGATAAATGCTTATACTAATCTATAAATGTGACGTTTTCTCCAAAGATAAAAGAAGTCGGAAAAAAGGTTGACTAACCAAAAATCCTATTCTATCCTATAGTAAAGTTTCTAAAGTTATAGGGATTATCTTCGAAAATGAATGATAAGGGAAGCTACATCATACTCGTTTGGTTTAGGCTATAATATACGCGGGCAAAGTCGTAGGGAAACAGCTGAGTATATATTATCTTGAGAAATCCGCTTGGTACGCTGTACGGTTGTTAAGAAACTTTAAAAAGCACCAAAAATTTACTATCTTGAGCTCCTCCTTGTTTCAAAGGGTTAAGCGGTTGGTTCCGGCTGCATCTGCAGTCGTTGAGACACCCAATCTGCCCTTAGCCCATGTGATGCATTCTCCGATTTTCGTACATATTCGATTCAATCCATAGGGGCAGCAGGGGCGGCATCCCAGCAGTGGGGGGGCTTTAAGGTTAGTGACGAGTACATTTTTTAACCTAATTTCCTTTAATTCTCGAATAGATTAAATTCCAAGTCCCAAACTCTTTCGCGACATTAAACGCGAATGGGACCGTTCGAGTAATCCTTAATTACTTCGGAGATATTTTTTTTTGTTGTTGTCTTAAAAGCTGTTAAGGAAAGACAAATATTTGTAATTGTATACTCATTGTAATTCTGGTTTACGTTCATATTTACCCGTTATACAGTTTAAGAGATACTTCTTTAGTAACTAGTATGGTGCCTGATAATTTATTAAAAATTTAAAATAAATATGTACTGTACCTAAAGGGTAAAACGGGAACCCTATTATTAAAACTTCGCTGTCTACCTGTCTGTCTGTCACCAGGCTGCATCTCTTGAAACGTGAAAGTAAGACAGTTTAAATATTCACAGATTAATGTATTTGTACAAATACATTTGGTAAATATGTAACTCTCACTTTGTAGCTAAGGGAATTAGATAGCATTGTTACAATAATCTATTTATTTTATTTAATTATCCTTGTAATATATTTTTTATTTATATAATACCTATTGATATTTTATCCCGAACCATAAGTCGTAACAGTATCTATTTATCAGTTTAACAATAATTCTCTCAAATGTTACGTTTTTATACAAAAATTTGCTAATCATTATTTGTAAAAATGAAACATAGGCAACGTTAGTTGGCAAGTGATAATAATCTGTCAAACGATTTTCGGCGAAAAGGCAAGGTTACCTTTTTTACTTTTCACCCTCTTAAATAATTTTTGGTAATGATTTAGTATTATATTCATTGTATTGGTTACTTTTTAGTCTTAAATTATACTGACTTTTTACACAATAAAGAAATGTACAAGATTTTTATATGGCAGATATTTCAACAATTTCTTTTGTAAGCATTCTAATACATCTTTTATATCAAACGGAACACCATACCAGACGAAATAGCAGTCAGCAATAATGCTTCTGTTTATTTTACGACTTTAAGAGATATAAAATGAAAGTTACACAAAACAGAAATATGTTTGGGTCGAGCTTTTTAAATGTCGTCGCGAATAAATACGGACCTAGGGTAAATAAGTGGGATTATTGGACGAATTGTCGTCTTCAAATTCTTACAAGTTTGAGACATGAAATAATCTTTGTCAAAATATTTTTGTAATATTTTCCACACTTGGCTACAAATTACCAAACCGAAATGGTATAAGTATTATTTTTATTAAAAAAAAAAGTCGTTTGAAAAATTACTTTAATATATACAATGATCATCGTCATAAGCCTATTAACATCCTCACTAGGAACTTTTCAATGGATAAAAAAAACACAAAGGCAAAAACTTGTTAGTTTCCAGAACCCTTCGTAGGCGAAGTCGAACGAGGAAGTATTTCAAGAAAAAAATAGAATGGACCAATGAAAATGGAAACTGAAATTTGCAAAACTCGAATCTTAGATATCAATACAAATACGAAAAATTACAAATAGTATGTGAATTGTTCATTGAGTTTTGAAAATTTACTTTTATACATAAAAGAAACCCGGAAGGGTTGTCATGGAGAAATCAAGAAAGTACCGTAGCGACATTTAGTTCGATTTCGGAAACTAATGTTTTTTTTTAAATCCTCATTGACTTGGCCATCTTTTGATTGATTGATCCTTTTATAGTGACCTATCGTGCTGGTGTGTGTATATTCTTCATATCCACTCATATTATAATGAAGTATCATCTTATCAAGTGTACCCAAACTGTTGTTCATTTGAAACCCTTATGAGACCCTGTGGGATATAAGCTGTCATAAGCGCCGCTATATTTTCGCGATGAAGCTTTAGACAATGAGGAAATAGACTACAAAATTGTTAAATATTATTAAAAAAATTTAGTAATTAGAAAAATAACGTTTTTAAAAAACAAGTTAATTTACAATTACGCAGGATTCCACCAAATTATTTCACACTTTTAATACATCATTATGTAAACTTTCACACAAACTCTTGTTTTTACGTTGCCGTCGACTGCACATTAGGATTCTATAAAAGCGATTACTTTGATTTATTTATGTTTCTTTATGCTTATGTTTCTTTATAATATATTACAAAATATGGATGATTAAAAATGAATGATTGAATTTTAAAGACAACGGTGATCTTTTCTATCGTGATTTTTTTTAATTTCCAATTTCGATGTGACAGAATCGCTTAATGTAGTTTCTTTATTTTTGAACTACAGCTTATTATGACGTTAGCAAGGAAATATTTTCAAAAAGCTTTCGATGATAATGTTACAAACACTACATTACACTAAAAAAACTATTTTTTACCATTAATATAACCATCGAAATCTGTAATCATGCTCCTGTAATGTATTCGAAAACACCGAATCAATCAAAATGATCGATTATGACTCCTTGGCAAACTCATGTTACGAGGGTTGAGTCACGTTCAATATCCAATCGACATAATTTTAAATTCAGATTCTATTGTTTGTTTATCTATTTCTTTTTTTATTAACGTGGTTGTAAGCCAGCACGTTTTTTTTACATTAACGCTTAATCTCCATGAAGATGTGTTTCCTGATACGTTTAAAGTGTTAGTAATTAAAAGTTTTAAGGTCCAATTATACAGAGCAATTAAAGTTAAGGGTAGTAGCGAAAAATTAACAAGTGCTTGAAAAATTTGCCAGTCCTGTTGGGTCCTGTGTAGCATAGAACAGTCGCCCGGATTTTCAAATCAAATCAAAATGATTTATTCAGTCTAGGCTGTTACAAGCACTTGTGAAAGTCGAGAGCTACGCCATCGGTTCCTAAATCTACGGCGGGAGACCTTGTACCGAGAAGAACCGGCAAGAAACTCGGCAAAAGCTGCTTTTTTCTCCCTGTTTTATTTCATACAGAGCGTCAAGATTAAAAAATGACTTCATTAAAATATGAAGTCACTATCCATTACAATATTAGAAAATATATAAGTAAAACAATATTTTCGTCAATCGGATCAAGAGAGAACAGGTCTGCTGGATTACCATTATATTTTGTGAGACCACCATCATTATGCTTGACGTCCTGCACAGCAACGCCACACTCGCGGACCGATGAGTACCGCCAGCCGCATCTAGTCAAGAAATCGTTGCACCGTCCGCAAGCTGGTACCATACCCTCCTGGGTAGAGAGAAACCTGCAGGTTTCTTTACAGGGTTTATGCTGATTCCCATAGTTTTCGGGGTGTTATTATTTTATTGTAGCTCCCACGTACTATTCGTATTTGACTTGGTCTTCATGAGTTCACGTGCGGATTTATTAAGGCGGATATCTCAACTTCAGATGAAGAGGCGGCAGGTTAATAAACTCATAGTGTACCGGTAGGTCGTTGTTTCTGTGGATTCCTCAGCTTCTGAGGTAGGGTGGTGTAATATGGCTTAGCACTGACAACCACTGGAGAGGTGTACTTTTTATGGTTCCAGATTTGTATCTCATAGTCTGAATATCTGAATATCTACATGTAAGACATGTGCACTGTATATCCAGACCGGCTAACAGTACTCGGCTGTTGATGGGACTGTTTTTCGTGGAATTCGGTACCTTTCCCCACTTGCTAAAGTAGACGCCTAACAGGTCTCTGTTTAGGGTTTCTTCAGATGGTTTGCAAGTTTCATGTTGGGATGCTGTAACGTCGTCATCAGCATAGATAAATTTACGAGCTTGTGTTTCAGGAATATCATGCATGTAGAGGTTGAAAAACAGTGGTGTTAAAACATAGCCCTTTAGCTTTCTAGTGTGGCTTACTGAATTCCCAGGCATACGATAAACCTTCGGTTCCTAAGCATACTCGTGGGTGTTACACACCCACGAGCTTTCTGCAAGTGAGATCTATCAGGACTGCCACTGTCTTGAGCTTCTTTGGAAACCCTGCTTCTATGTGAGTAATTAGGGACAGTACCTGGTCCGTACAGTTTTGAGCACTCCAGAAACCAGCCTGCTCCAAGGGAACCATGCTATCGACAAGTGGTGTTATGCGAGTGTAAATCAGTCTTTAAAGCAATTTGTGGGTAAGAATACGATAGAGCGATAGCTGTTTAGGTCATCAGCTGGTTTCTGGGGTTTTAGGATCACAATAATCTTAGAACGGTTGAAGTTCGGAGGCAGTGTGTTGCTTAAAAGAATATTGAAGTAGAACTCTTTTAGTCATTTCCTACAGTGTGTAGAGATCGTGTTCGTCTCTGGTGTGGATTTTTCCAAAAATAGCAGGTCTTTATTATTTTCATGCAACATCTTACTTAGTTTATCTAAACCTTTTATGTTAAGGATAAATCGTATCAAGACATTAAAATTTTATTTTTACATAATTAAGTAGCAGTATATTAAGCACCCCCCTTTATATCTGCAGCACCCACGAGGGGGCGTTATCGCCAACTTAGGGAGGGGCTGGTTTAATGCCACCAGGTGGACACGTGCAGGGTATTAATGGCAACTCCAACTTCAATAACAACTTCATCCCCCAATACTGGATGTATTGCCATAGATAGGTCACGAAAAAAATGATATTTCAAGCTTCTCCCTTGCTAATTTGAAGGCACGTTAAGGAGTTGGTCCTATTCACCTCTGCAGTCGTTAGCTGCTACTAATCAGCAATATTTTTTCGTGAGCTGAAGCACAAATATTATGATATTTAAAGTGAAGGCCTATTCTTCAGCAACGGGGTTCAAAATGGGAATTATGCGTGTAGTTTGTACAAACTTTTTTATATTCTATATATATTTCGGAACCTTTGTAAGTTCCGTAATCTCTAAACTTTAAAGTTTAAAATTTCATGTTTTTGTTATTAATGACATTACAGCTATAAATATATTTATTACGTATAAAATCTCAGGGGCTGATCCAAAATATCATCTCGGGCAAAATCGTAAAACTTGAATGAGTTTTATCTTACTTCTTATGTTGGCATGTAATAGGATGGTAACCCGTCAATTTTTCAGATAATGAATGTTGAAGATCGGTCATTCCATTACTATTGTGCACTGAAGTTTAACCCAAACATTTGGGAAGCGTGGTGTTTTACAACTTTGATTGTAATACCTTGTACAATTGACAATTGTGCTTGAAGCGGAACTGCTCTAAATATTATTATCTTTCTATATCTTCATGCCGTATCCCTGTTGGGGTACGCAGAGAAGGACGAACACCATAATGTACGGTCTTTACATACATTGAGGCGGGGAAGTCGCGGAAGAACAGCTAAAAACATATAAACAAACAGATACATTTTTAAAGGACAGTTGAAATATGTACTATTATATCTTTACTAGCTTTCCGCTAGCGGTTTCGCCTGCGTGGTCCAGTATTATACGAGTACATATAACATTCTTTTTACATCACTCTGTACATTTATGAATACCGCATTAAAATCCGTTGTATAGTTTATGAGATCTCGGCGTACAGACATCGGTAAACGACTTTGTTATATAACATGTAGAGATTCATATAAGTTTATATAGGATTAACCAAATAAGTTATATAGGTGTGCTAAGCATCAAACACGGAAATATCAACAAACACAAAAGACGTTAGGACATTCAGCGACAAAAAGCTTTTTCTAGGATAAAGCCAGAGGGACCTCCTGCGGTTATATTAAGCCATACACCAAACAAAACTGAGCTGGGGATTACAACAATATTATGTTTTGCTGTATCTTACCAGATGGCAACGAACATTGTAAGTATTATTAAGTCTCAGTGAGATGTTACTTTCGTACTTAATCTAAAAAGGTATACCAAAATTTGGTATTTTCAGTCAAACTATTTTTTTAAATCTACCATTTCTACTATTACAATATAATAGTGTAAATAAATTTTAAAATTTTACCCGCCTGTTACCCATTACCCGCCCCATAGTGCACTGTTACACATGCAGCTAAGATCTACAATTAAACTTCCAAAGATCATCCTATGTTTTACTATTCCACCGCAATCCAAACCCGCTAACCGAGGCGCCACTGAAGTTCTCGATAAATAAGATATAAATACTTATCTACATTTATTTCAAACAACTATAGCTGTAAATGACGAATTGACGATGTTTTGTACATTGTTGGTTCGAAAACTCGTAAATCTCTATCGTAACATTAGCTGTAATCAAGTCATAAAGTCTTATAAAACTACATAAACTCACATAAAAATAATACAATGAAATCTTAGTAAGTACGGAACGGTAACGGCTATAAATGAAAAGAACAATGTAAACTGAATACGGACGTCAATTATTACCTGACTAATTTGTGTGTTTAGTTAATTTTTCTACAAAATCCATCGCATTATCTCAATTTAGGATAAAAACGATGTGAAAATAACGAAAAATGCACTTAATTAATCAATAATTTCTCACTATTGGAAGTACTGAATAACAATGCTAAGTAAAGTCAACTAATTCTAGAATTCAGAATCTAAATGGGAGAAGTTCTATGTTAAAAAGATATACCCATCGTATGTATTTTTTAAATATAAGTATATACACCGATAAAACCTAAAACTGACACTATATGTAACTTCATACAACAATAATTATCAGGAATGTCGATTCTATGAGCACATACTAATATTTGCTGTTATATTTTCAAGAACAAATACAATATTTCAATAATCTATCGAGAAATTAACAACAAAAATTATAAAGAATATAAGAAATGATTAAATAGGTTTATCCAACTATGACGTAATTTTCTAGCAAACCATGAGAGTTGCATGTCAACAACATGGACACAAGGCGTCCCCTCTCCAACCCCAACAGTTACTGTAAAAGCAAATAATAATCTAAATCCCTCTTTCCAGTTAAAAAATTATTTCATCCTCCGTATTATTAATATTGTAGATTTGAATAAGTGCCCGACGCTTATCCCCTTTTTAATAACGATAAAGTTCTACCTGTTTTTTTAAATTTTGTACTTATACAAACGTTTATTAATATTACAGAAGTAGGAATAGACTTGGTATATAGTAATACAGCTATCGAGTGCGAGAAATCTCTGAATTCTATCAATAACATCCACTCGCAAAATTTCAGTTACTCCATGATTATGGCGCTTGTTACAAAGCCGAAATATAAGGGGTTGTTTAAAAATAACGTACATAGTAGCAATATATTAAGGAGGATGACGAAAACCAGATATTATTGCGGGAAAATGGTAGATTTAATAACTTTTATATTGCATTCTTAATACAAGTCACAATGTCAAAAACATAAACCAGAATTGACATCTTTATAAATCAATATGAAACATAAAAATCACAAATGGCCAGAAATGGTATGCAATTTCTTCAAAGGGCGACTACATCAGCACCATTCCATTTCTGCCAGGGTTAAGCGCTGTGGAACGACCCAAGAAGCTCTTAGTAAGGAACTGCCAGCCATTATGACAATAGCGCCGATATAAATATTTGGAATTTTTTACTTTGAGTCTTCTTGTGCTGAGGGATATTTTTAATACTAGGCTACCCGACATTGCCATTGGTCTTTTTTCTTTCATATTTTTAATACTGTTATTTAATGTTTTGTACCTTAGTGAAGTGTCTTGATTATTATTTTGACACTTATTTGTTTATTATTACTATTATCTTAACTGTATATAACGCACTACCTACACTAGGCACTTATTCTCTCTTCTTTCTTGGGCTGAATTTTGGCAGATACTCTTTAAGCCAGCGCTGCCAAATTTCCGCCACCCCACTCTGATGCACTGATCTGAATCGTCCGAATTGGATGGAATGAGTTTACCAGAAGAAGCTATAATAAAGAGAAAAGGTGGTAGTGAATCTTCATGGCTCGTCGAAACATGCATGAGTGGTCAGGAGTTGACAATCGCCCCGATATGGAATGAGGTGCTATCGTGCATCGCTATCATTCTTATGTTAATGACGATGAAAATTAAAAAAAAGTTGAAACATTTATATGAAAACCAATTATAACGATTACAATGTTGTCAGGGTTAATAATAAATTAATTATATTCTAAAAATAGACAAAGACATTTTCTCACCCACTCGCTTCGTTAAGTTATAAACAGATTAGAAAGATTGAAGTTTTTATTATGTTCAAAAAATAAATTAGATTTAAAGAAAATTAATTTTAAATGTCGACGAATACTGATTGCACGTCTGGACAGTATTCACTGTCCAAACAACGAGGATTAATTAAATCTATTCACAGAACTCATTTGAAAAGGCGAAGCCGAGACTATTAATGGTGAAAGAGTGCAATAAATCAACAAAAAGATCTCATTTAATATTTTAACATGACCACTATGACTGTCGGAGACTATTTGAAATAAAAACTAGATAAAAATATATACTAATTTGAAACCCATATGATATAATTAAAAGTACATTCGTAAGTCCATCAATTTTAATTAAAGATGTATCTTTTTATTACACTGACATTTTATATGGTGTTTATAAAACCATATTACCCAAATACTATTTATTTGTAACAAAAAAATATTATTAATTATAATAGCTGCCATATACGATAATTTTTAACGTTACCTATCTAAAAACACATGGGCAATTTAGACAAATTTAATGATACTTCAATTATCTAAATCCGTTCAGAGGTTCCTGAAGATATGAAGTATTATAGAATATTACATACATACAAGATACGCGCGAAAAACATATAACCCTCCTTTTGCAGTCGGATAGTATACAAAAACGTTTGTGATCACAATATGATCACAAATGGACTAGATCTAGATAATGTACCCTACACGATCTCACAAATGGGGAATTTACTGACTATGTCAAAAATACAGAC